AACAACTCAGCTTGCTATCTATAATTTAATCCTACTTGGAGAGGCTGGAAAAGGAGGTGTTTTAGCAGGGGGGAGATTCCTCTGCCTGCCTTTCAGCCATAAAACTGGTGCAGGCAGGGAGAGGGGCAGAGGTACGGGAAGTGAGGGGCAGAGGGGCAGGCAGGGAGGAGAGTGGAAGAGGTGCAGGCAGGAAAAGGGCAGGGAGAGGCAGGAGAGGGGAAGAGGTGCAGGCAGGAAAAGGGCAGCGCTACAGGCAGGGAGAGGGGCAGAGGTGCAGGCAGGGAGAGGGACAGCGAGATGGACAGCATCCAGAGCAGGCTGGTTCCCCCAGAGCCGCCCTGCCTCCCCCCCTCACCTGCCCGCGGGCTGCGAGCCCCGGCGGCGGGGTGGGGGTTGTTGAAAGCAGTTTCCACTCCGCCGCACAGATGTTCCCAGCCCGCGCCAAGAGAGCGGGAGAGGCTTAAAGAAAGAAAACATTGTCCTATGGCAAAGCCCAGCGAGCATGTAGGAAGATTTCTCCTTTTTTGTTATAACCATTATGATTTGGCAGCGTGAAAATGGATTTCTCTCGGGCCTGAATCAGCTCAGCTCCAACCTATTCAGGATTTTATCCTAGTGCTCATCCCAATATCCAAGTGCCTCCCTGGCATGGAGGCTCATGCCCAGCCAGAGGGAACATTTCTAGTGCCATCCTGTCACTGTGTCTCCCTAATCAAACCCAAACTGTCCGTGTTTTTATATTCATCCCAGCTCTCTGGTGTCCAAAGCACTGGGACAATTCACGCCATAACAGCAAGGAATTTTCCATAATAGTGACCAAGCATTTCCCCCTTTTCTTTCTTCCCTCCCCCCCCCCAACTTTTTCCCCACTCTACATTTGCTCCAAGGTCTAAGCCTGGTACAGAGAAAACAGGAGCTGGAAAGGCAGAGGCTGGAGACAGCCAGGAGATCCCAAAAAAGGCATTTTAGGGAGAAAGTGCTGATGCAACCCAGTGGTGCCGTCGTGCTGCAGCGCCAATAAATATTTGATTTAGCCTGAATAGGAAGGCATCGCATCTGGAATGATCTGAAGAAGAGGGAAGATCACAAATACAACATTATTGAAAGGAAGATTAGCATGGTGAGCATTCCTGGAGCTCACCCCAGCGTGCAAATTGCCTTAGATTGGAATAAACTGGTGTTACCTGTTGGAAAGGTACCACTGGCTGCACCGGGCTGGGTGGGCTGTGCTGCCAGTCACAGGATGCCTGTGCCTGGTGCTTGGAAAGACACTGAGATAACAATCCAACAGATTTTTAAGCCCTTGGCTGACGTGTGCTGTCAGCATTCCCTGCACTGGCATAGCTGGGCACAGCTGGGGGCTGACAGGGCCCTGGGAAAGCCACTTTCATTACCTGATACTTTCAAATTCTGGCAGGTTTGGGTTTTTTTGACTTGGCTGTGTTTCACTGTCACATTTTAGACTCTTCCCCTTTCATGTGTTCATCAGGTCTCACATTCCATCCATCCCCTTCCAACAAACACCGGGTTCTGATCCGACTCTCTCAATCCGTTCCCACCTCTCGGACTATCCACTCCCCTCACTTTTTCTTTCAGTTTTTCCTCGCTTTCTTTAACAAGTTGCTCTGGATTTCTGGTTCCACTTAGCTCAGCATTAAGCCCTGCTCGGGTTCCCTCCCTCACTCCCACCACCGCTGTTCTGGCTCGTGTAGGATGCTGCTGGGCTTGAGTGTCCAGCCAAAACCAACCAGAGAGAAACAACAAGTACTTTCCTTTTCAGTGAGCTGGGAGTTTTCTAGAGCCGATAAACCCATTCTTCCCACACTGCGTGAAGCACAACCTGCCTTTGTTAAATAACTCAGAGAGAAAAAATCCCCATGTCCTCATGCAAATGCTCTGGTAGATCCCAGTTTCCATCTCCTCAGGGTCTAGAGCAGGGTTTGCAGTGGATGGGCCTGTGAGCGGGGCCAGGAATCTGCTGGGGGTCCCAGGGAGTGCTCAGGACTTTGCTTTATGGATTGTGACCTTTGTATAGGATAAGGGAGACTAATATTGAGGATGTATTTCCCAAAAGAGCATTTTATCTACTGGCCTGATAAAGATGGATTTCACAGCTCTCTGGCCAGGAGGATGCTGAGAAATGAGCTTTAACTGTGGGTTCAGAGCCAGTTCAAGAGTCAAACCTCTGAACTTGGGAGTGTTTGTAGCTGGAATTTTTGCTCAGCTTTGGTGCTGACTTCCTTGACTGCCTGGGACAGTGAGACTCCCCCCCAGTGCCAACAGCTTTCCTTAGCCAGGCTGGGAGCAGTGAGCCAACAAGGTGCTGGTGGGTTTATCCAGGAGCAGATCCTGCACAGAACCACCACACCACATCCCACCAGCCCAGGCCACCCAAGGGTGGGCTCCACCCCACCAGGCAGGGCTGCTTCCTGCTGTCATTCCCACCTCCCTGGGAGGAAACACTGAGCTGGCCCCAGGGCAGCAGCCCCCTGGGATAGAGATCTGGATAACTCCTAGAAGGGGGCTGCTTCCCTGGGAGGCCTGGCAGGGGTTCACCCCACCAGTGCCAGGCTCTTGGGGGACATCCCTTACCCATCAGGGCTGGCTGTTGGTGGGAGGAAAACTTCAGCTGGGCTCAGCCCTCTCTCCTCTCTGGATAAGCAGGGGCCACTCGTGGTAGAGCCATCCCCAGAGGATCCATGGGTGGCTGATCCCCCTCCATCAGCTCAGCATCTCCAGGACACGATGGATTTAGTCTGAGATCACTCCTGGCCCCAGTGGCAGCGCACAGCCCCCTGCCCTCCTCTGTGCCCAGCACACCGACAGCTGCCAGCCCTGTGTCCCCCAGGGAAGTCACCATCTCCTGCCACCACCCCACCTGAGCTCACAGTCCCCAGCACAGGGACACCTGGCCTGCAGGGAGGAGGGATCATGACACCTCCATCACTTTGGTCCATCTCTTTTGAAGTCACATCATCACCAGCTGTGTCCAGCGCGGGGCTTGCAGCACATCTCTGTGCCTGGGGTGCTGGTGGTGCCTCATTCCTCTGCAGGGCGGGGAAGGTGGTGGGAATGCTGCCTGGCACAGCAGATCCTTCCCTGGGACATAGGGAGATGCTGCTGGATGCTGCCAAGGCCTGCAGGGATGGAAGAGCCTGCAGCATCCAAAATCAAGCTTAGACCCCCCCAGGGACTGACTCCCCAGCTCAGCATCAGCCTTGGCAGTTCCTGAGGGACAGAAGAGCTGCTTGGCTGCAATGGGGCCACTGCCACCCCCCTGCCCTGCAGTAAGGTGACACTTAGTGGCCACCCCTGCCTGGCAGAGGGACTTCCTTCCTGCTCTGTCCCTTCCCAGCCCTGTGGCCCTGGACAGCAGCTGCTGGGATGTGCTGGGTTCATTGGCACACTGGGCAGCCCTGCTGCCTCCCATCTCTGCTCCAGGCTGTTATCCCAGGGGGTTGGTGGGAGCCATCAGAGCAGTCCTGGGTGAGAGTTCATCTCGGGGCTGCTGGCAGAGGAATGCAGGTGCCAGCCTCATGTATCTGGGCTGACTTTGGCAATTTGAGTCCCCCAGAGCTGTTTGAAGAGAAATGTGCTGCTGTGGGGCTGTGGGTGAGTGGAAGGCAAGTTACTGCAGAAACAACTGGTCCTGCTGCAGACCCTCTCCTTGTGCTGGCATGGTGCCATGGGACAGGTCCAGCTGGACCAGGGCACTAATCCATCTGAAAGCTGCCTGTAAACCTCACAGTGGGTTTCCTCTGCTGAAGGTGCTGCAGATGTAAAACAGGGAGCTGACCTGGTGGCTTCAGACATCCTTCATCCTCCCACCACACAGGGAGGGCTCAGGAGGCACCATCCCTCCCCAGACAGGCTCTGCCAGACCCCAAATGGGCACCTGAGTGTGGTGTCAGATGGTGCAGGGTGGGAAGGAGGTGGGCAAAGCCTCCAGGCTCTGCCAGCGCTGGGTTGGCAACCCTCGTTTTGTGTCTCTGTGTAGAGGAATCCTCGTTATGTGCCAAAACCTCAGCGTGGTGGGTGCAGAGGTGATCATTGTCCCACTGTCCCAGCTGAGAGCATCCAGAGGTGGCAGAATCGGGGCATCTCACAGTCATCCTGAGGTGATGCTGAGGGCAGCAGGGCAGCACCCGTGGAGTACGGCTGGGATTCCCGGGAAAATCCAGGGACCGTGGAGGGGGCAGAGGGCTGGGTCACCCCAGGGTGATGCTGGGGGTGGAGGGCTGGAGTAACAGAGGTGATGCTGGGGGTGGAGGGCTGGGTCACCCCAGGGTGATGCTGGGGGTGGAGGGCTGGATCACCCCAGGGTGATGCTGGGG